AAAAAAGATATTAAGGAGTTATCCCTTCCCTATGTATAAAAGAGTAAATCCACTAACAAATAATGTATTTTAGGAACATGACACAGTCAAGTAGACACTATTCACAATTGCTAAGACATGGAACCAACCATGTCATTTTGGCATGCAAATCACTTTGTCATCCAACAACTACAATTATGTCTGTTTATCTTATAGCATATTGAGAAAAATGATTGTTCATCTAAAAAGTTTGTTTCAGGCCAACCGATACCCAAATTGAATACAGCAAATTATTGTTTTTGAGAATATGCTACATATTCTACACCCAGGAAGCTGCTCTATAATTCTATAGAGCTATCATTATATAATCTATAATAGGGTCAGAATTCTTCCATGGGACAAAGTACTCTGAGATGCTGACACTCCACCTAGTGAGAGCAAAATTCTTTTGTCTTGGCCCCTGGCAGCCATCAGTGAGATACAGCCACGGAGGGTCTCTATTCCTAGTCCACAGAGGTCCTCAATGTTTTACGAAGATAAATGAAAGAAAAAAGCCAGTTACCAGCTAGGATGTCTGCTTCGTCCATGAACTGGGTACTGAAGAGAATGACTCGGTCTGACTTCCTCTCTTTCAGAAGCGTCCACACCCGGTGCCTTGAAAGAGGGTCCAGGCCTGCAGTGGGTTCATCCAACAGCAGAACCTGGACAGAGGGCACATGGTCAGTTTCCGCTCTCAGACATAATTCTTCTGTAGAGTACTGTGTTTGAAAAAAAAATGCTCCAGAGAAATAGCTTACTGCTTGATATTTTCTTGCAAAACTTGTTAATTCATCATTCGCAAATTCAGTTTGATGGACTAGAATAAGCCATCTGATTTCACCTGTCATCTTAGTTTAACTTACCTGAGGATCTCCTAAAAGGGCCATTCCAAAGGTTAGTTTTCTTTTTTGTCCACCGCTTAAGTTTTCTGCAAGAATGTCTTGACTCTTTTCCATCTCTAAGTTTTGTAAGACTCTCAGGACCTAACCAAATAAAGACTATTTAATCCAAGTGTTAGAATTGTGTTTTAACAACACTATTTTCTGTTCTTTACAAAGGGTCTTTTCACTTAACTTGTAGATGATGAATTATGAAGAGATAACACAAAATATTTAGAATTGTCTAGGTAACCAAATCCATTCTCATGACTGTGTGACACCTTGCAAGTTCAAGTACCTCTTGCTCCACTTCATGTGGCGAAATCCCTTTGATCACAGCAAACAGCCGGAGATTTTCTCTCATGGTGAGAAAGCCAAAGTGCACATTGGATTGTGGACAGACTCCCGTGAGCTTACTGACAGTTTCCAAGTCAGCTATTTCCAAGACTGTGTGATTATAGATGGTGACAGAGCCTATAAATGGAAGGTAGAGAGTTACCATCCAATGTGTCATTTTAAATTAAAAACAATGTATGTCAGTTACTGCTTTCATTTAAACACCTTTTGTCTGGAATAAATAAACAATTGATAAGTTCAGGACCAGCAGGTAGCTTGGTGATTGAGGTGCTAAATTCCCACATGGCTGACTGCAGTTCGAGTCCCAGAGCTGGTAGCTTGAAAATCACTTTGGGCTTGTGTGCATGCATGTCCAAAATCCTGAGAGGAAGAGAATGGAGGAGAAGGGATTGTGGTGTGGCCATCCCTGATAGGGAGTGATTTCTCATTTTCCCTCCCTCTCTCTCCAGCGAGTATGCACAAATCCTGTGGCAAAAACCTAAAAATAAATTAGTTAATTAAATTAAAAAGTTAAAAAGTTAATGTTTATAATAACAGCTGACTCAGCCAGAATTTCATCTAATAACTGAATAGTCATAAGGCTACTGATATAATATTTTTCAATAAAACACATTTTCCTAAATAAATATAAAGCAATTCTATAAAATAATAACTTAAAGAAAGATCTAAAATTTTTCTCTGAAATGTCAGTTAATGAAGCCACTGAAGTTAACTAATGAACCCAATTAACTAAAGAAACGAGCAGTTAATTCATTTGCTCAAATATATTTCCTTGGCTAATTGTCCTCTCACCTGATGTTGGAACCAACAGCCCACTGAGCGTGTTTAAGAGAGTGGTTTTCCCAGCTCCACTGTGACCGAGGAGGGCAGTGATCTGACCTTCATATATGTCAAACATCACACCTGCATGATTTAAAAAAAAAATTATACTCAAAACCTACATATTAACTTTATATTTTCAGAAAATTTCAAGTAAACTTTGTGGATCATGAATATATTTGACTAGCACTACTATAGTTGATCTCAAAATTCTTTCTTTTAACATTTTATCTCATATAATACACATTTTATAGCAATAGCATTGTCAACCTGTCATTATATGATTAAACATTACTTAGATAAAAGCAGAGGCTGGCTATAATGACGATAACTTTAGAACTAGAACATACAATGAGCTGAAAATAACTTCACCGTGCTATCATAAATCTTTCAAATCCATCAGATTCCTAAAGAGCTGCTTTACTTTTTAAAATTATTACATGAGTTTTCATTTATTTGGAAGGAAATGTAACGTGTTTAAATAAAGAAGTCATGGGGACCAGCAGTTGGTGTAATGGCTATGTAGTCAACTGCGGTTCAAGTCTCAGACCCGGTGCTTAAACTCACGCTGGGTGCATGTGAGTGCGTGCCCAAGATCCCGAGAGGAGAAAGGAGGAGAAGGGATTGCAGCATGGCCAGGATCCCCCCTGGGGTGGTGATTTCTTGCTTTCTGTCTCTCTGTTTCTCTCTGGCTTTCTGGTGAGCACACACACCCCATAGCAAAAAACAAAAAACAAAAAAACAACAACAAAAAAAAACAGAAGAAAACAAAACAAACAAACAAAAATCCTCTCAAAAATTAATTAATTAAAAAGAAAGAAAGAAGTCATGATATCAGGGGTATCTATTTTTAATCCCTACCAAGATGCTGCAGCCGTGAGGCACAGTCAATAAATCAAATGCCATGTTCATTGTTATTGTATTACCTCTCAAAGCTTCCACTTTTTCATGCTTTCCTGCATATTCTTTTTTAAGATTTTTGATCCTGAAAAAAAAAGGGGAAATATTTTAAGAAAATAAAATATTTTAAAACATTTTAAGAATATTTTAAGAAAATTTTAAGGAAATATCTTAAGATCCACAAAAATTTTAAGAAAAGAAAAATTTAAGAAAATATTTTAAGAAAATTTAAGAGGTATATAGAGGATTTCTAATCGAATTTTTGAGACCATGAGAAAATCTGGGGGTTCTTTTCTTTCATATGGACACTGGCAGAAGAATCTAGGTCATCTCAGCAGAAGTAGCACCCCTGATCATTGTAAACTGCACAGCATACCATATGGAGGGGGGTAGATAGCACATGGAAATATGACGAGTCTTTGAACAGTTTATAGGAGGTGTTTATGATGGAAAATTATGCATAGACTTCAAAAATTTTTGCACCAAAATGAACCTGTACTTTAATTTTATTTTTCCACAAACTTTTTGAAATCCCTAGTATTTTGCTCTAAGGATTATGACAAACGGCCTGACAAAAGGAAAGCTGGAGATGATACCAGTGATTAGGAGATACCATGGTAGAGAAAAAGCAGCAACAGCACACCATAATAACACATGAGGACTTTGGAGGCAAGTGGTTCTAGGTAGGTCCCCGTGGCCTCACTCACTGGCTCTATTACCAATGCTATGTACTCAGAACTCATGGACTTTAGTTCTTTAGTAGTAAAACGGGGATGAGAAGAGTTTCTGTCACACACAGCTGATTTGAAAATAAATAAGAAAATTAATGCAGAATGCAAAATGCGTGTATAAGAGTAAATCTTTGAAGAAGATGTGAGAAATACGGAAAAATATTTAAAACAGGAATAGATTTTTTTAAAAGGTCCATAGAAAAATATTTTAAATGAAGATGTACTATAAACTACGCCCTATGCATTTTATCTGCATCACTTTCTTAAATGATGACAACCAACTAGCAGGTAGGTTGTATAAGTCTTCTTGGGCTGCTGTAACCAAATGGTATCAACTGGGTGGCTTAAAGAACAGGTGTTTACTTCTCCCAGTCCTCAAGGCTGGAAAGTCCAAGATCAGGATGTCAGCCAACTTGGCTCCTAGTGAGGGCTCTCTCCCTAACTTGTAGATGTTGCCTTCTTGCTGTGTTCTCATGTGACTGAGAGAGCACAAGGCTCTCTGTCTTTTCTCATAAAAAAATGAATCCCATGGGAACCAGCAGTTAACGTAATGGCTATGTCGCTGGACTCCCACGTAGTCGACCACAGTTCACGTCCCAGACCTGGTGGCTTAAAATTCACACCGGGCGCGTGTGTGTGCATGCCCAAGGTCCCGAGAGGAGAATGGAGGAGAAGGGATTGTGGCGTGGCCATCCCTCCTGGGGGGTGATTTCTCGCTTTCTGTCTCTCTGTCTCTGTCTGTCTGTCTGGCGAGTGCACGCGCCCTATAGTGAAAATCTCTCCAAAAAAAAAAAAAAAAAGAATCCCGTCATGAAGGCCATTATGAAGGTCTCATCCACATGCTCTTATTTAACTTAATTCCCAAAGGTCCCACCTCCAAATACATCATATTAGGGGTTATAGTTTCAATATATGAATTTGGAGGAGACACAATTCAAGCCATAGAAGAGGTATAATCCAATTAAACATAGAACTCCCTGTGAAGAGAATGGGCATGAGGTGCTTTAGGATTGAGTTCAGATGGGTTCAAATCCTGTCTCTTTTTCTAAACTATAGCAGTAATCCAGCTCCTTGCCTTTTGTGAACCTCTCCTCCCTTGTCTTTTCTTATTCAGGCAATAATAAATATCAACTTCTTTTATTCTTTTATTTTACTTAAATAATATAAATGATAAGATTTTTCCCCTATAATACACATTTTGATGAAATTTAGTCTTAGTGTTGAGGTCATAGAGTCATAGATTCTAGATTAGGTAGAATCTAATTCTACGTAATCATTGTGGTAGGTACAATGATGCATTTTGTTTGATATTTTGATATTTTATTCTTCATCTTCTACAACGAGAGGTGCTTATGAGTCCAGCTGGCATAGCCTCTTGGACTGAATGGCCCAGACCTTCAGAACTCTGGGTACTGGCTTGCTGGCCGTGGTGCCACAGCAGAGAGCAGGACAATCTTGGCTTGCCATGACAGAGATAAGCCTTCTAAACCATCCCAACAATCAGCTCTGTGGGACTTTCTCTTCTAATGCTCTACCCATGGGTGAGGATCATTTTTTCTACAACATAAGCTAATCCTGCTATCCAAAAAATCACAAATCTTCAAAACTCTCATAATGTCACCACTGAGGAAAAGCAAAACGCCTTCTCTCGGCACTTAGGTTTTTCTATGCTCTGTTAGGACTAAATCTGTCCTAGAAACTGGAAAGACACAGAATTCAGTGTTCCAGCTCGGAGGGCATTCACAGTTCTTGAGAACATAGCACTAACTCATTCAGAATGAGAGAACCCTACTCTTTGTTGTGTGCTCATATTGAACCTATGTTCTAAGAAACTATTTAGTAACTGTTATCATAAGTGTTGAGAGTTAAAATAGATGAGTGAACAAGGTAGATAAGAGAGGTTTCATCAAGCAGTGAGATCAACAGAATGTGGAATGACGGACAAAATTTGAGCAAAAATCTTGAGTATTAGAGATTTCTAACTGTTGAAAATTAAAGCAACCAGCCTTAAACAAAGCACATTTATCAACGGGAAGAAATGCATGGGACCACCATTCCCAACCTCTTGTGTTTCCAATACCATCTCCTACCGCTTTTCTGCATCATCTTTCTCTGATTAGCCAGGAAGAAAGAGGAGAACAAAGTGAGACACAAAGGAAAGGTGCTGGGATAAACAAGGGAGAGGATGGCAGTGTTCGTCGCAGAGAGCAGCAGAGAAAAGGAGAGAAAAACGTGAAGGGGAGAAACAGGAGATAATGAGGACAAGGAAAATGTGGAGATTCTGTAGTCATTAACAGTTGCTGTCCTACAGTAAGATATTAGTCAAGGTGAATGCTGAGAATAATGAGAAAATGAAGTGCTACCGATGGCAAGAGTAGCCTCTCCTGAGTGCAGAGCCTGTGTGGGTGCGTACCCCGAGGCACAGAAAGAGATCTAAGGGTTTTGCTGGGCACATCCCTGGTCTCTGACCTGTTCTCTGTTGGTACCTCCATGTAAGTTATGTGTTACCTGATGGCTTCTTTCCCATGGAATTCTGGAGATACTGGCTCAAAACAGTCGTTAGATGAAGAATCGGAATCTGTTTCATTCTCAAGAGCCACATGGTTAGCCCTTTGATGTCGAAACCAAAAAGAGGACTTCAGGAAAAACAAAGGAGAACGTCGATGTCCATATTCAGCTACAAGAGCAGGGGGCAATTGAACACTAGGTCAGTCACCACTTCAAGGATTAGTCACTCTAGACAACTTGGCAATGCAACCCCTTTGATATTAAACCTAAACCCACATGACCACCTTGAGGTATTACTATTTCAATATGCTATAGTTATATGAGGGAACTTCAAAAAAATCACTGAAAAAAAGAGAATACAGTGTGAGTTTATTTTGGTGCAAAAAATTTTAAATTCATGCATAGTTTTTCCATAGTGCATATTTTCATCAATCCTTTGAAGACCCCTCATATACAGAACAGTGAGAGAAAAATGACTGAGGTGTTATCAGCTAACATAATGTTTCTAATAGGAGAGGCATGTAGCATTGTTAACTACTATAAGGATCCTAAAGAGAGATATTTCAGGAGGAATTTAATATTATCAGCGACTTTCACTTTGGGGCAGCAAATGATGTGGAGGTTAAGGCACCAGATCCCACATGGCTAACTGCTTGGTGTGAGGCCCAGACCCAGCAGTTTGAAAGACACCATGGGCACATGTGCATACATGCCCAAAATCCCAAGAGGGGAATGGAAGAGAGGGGACTATGGGGTAGTCAACCCCTCCCCCCCAGGAGAAGATTTCTTACTTTCCCTCTGTGTCTTTCTCTGGTTAGCATATGAACCCTATGGAAAAATAAAATCTTAAAAAAAGTTATAATTTCATTGATTATCCAATTCTGTAATTTTGTCAAAATTGACATGAGGTTTTTGGAAATCATTTTCTGACAGTGAACTCAAGCTAAAAACCACTTCTTAGGACTTCCTTTTTTTTTTTTTTTTTTTAAGGACCACAGATTAGTTTATTTTTAACACCCATCATGCCATGAATTCATAGGAAATAGGTTCCAGTAGCTCAGGCTCCTTCCCATTGGTTCTCACAAAGTGTACTTCTCTGGGTGGAGCAGGCTGGCTCTTTAGCTGAACCCAAGTACCTTTCTCTTTGGCTTCTTTCTTTTTCTGGTCATTCTCCTTCACACATTTTAGGAAGCTATCTCTGCTCTTAGAATGCTTAATATGCTCAATACGCGCATTAATTGTCTTGGCAAGAATCTTGCCCTTAACTTGTTTGTTTACAACAATGCCAACAGCATGCTGGGTAACATTGTAGACTCTTCCAGTTGTGCCATGGTAACATTTGTGGGGCATTCCTTTTTGGACAGTGCCCATTCCCTTGATGTCTACATTATCACCTTTCTTGTAGATTCCCATATGTGTTGCCAAAGGAACCACTCCATGTTTTCTCAAAGGCCTAGAGAACATGTATCGGGTGCCTCTCCTCTT